TTTTGGGGGTGGGCAATCAGGATTTGCAAGCATATCTGCAAGGACACTATGGGCTCTATGGGCCTGTGTTTGAATTCTTCGTGGCTGCGGGACACTACTTGTGCTTGCCACCACAACAGCTTGTACTGCATTTGTGGGACTCACCACGTCACCAAGTGATACTGCAGTGCTCGCATGTAAAAATCCAGAATGTACTAGGCCGCTGGTGCTCGCCAGTTCACCAAAAGGTAGAGCAGCACTAGTACTGGCACGCTGCTGCATATGAGAATCGTCAAGCAATTGTAGCACCTCAGCAACCTAGGAACAGGGTCAGGTATGCCTAACCTTACCACAGACCGCTACTCCATTGTCTGAGCCATCTGTCAGGGTGCCGCTGCTCTCTACAGGTTCGTATTCTGAGCCTGATTTTGACAGTGAGGCTTCCCCTTCACTCTTATCTGACATACTTAGAATCTTGTTGGCCTCTTCACTAGTGTACCTTTCGTCGGACATTTTGGCCAATAAATTTATAGCTACCTAGTGAGACTCAAATCAAATGGGTTAAATTTGAATCAAAGGGTTACATTTGATGAATGATGTAGTGGTGGAAATTTGTTGCTATCTGGGAGGGACACTAACGCTATCTGAAGTCACCCATGACACTAATACAGTGATCCATAAAAAAAAAAATCTGCACACTGTAATAATGACACTGGTGACAGGGCAGTGAAAGGGTTAACTGGGGGGAGATCAGGGGGTTAAATGCGACCTAGCTGTGCTTTTACTATCTCAGTGTACTGCCTTTACTCATGTGGATCTGTTTTCTTCTCTCTCTGGAACGTAATGTGCAGTAAAACTGCTATAGGGTGGAGGGAAACTGGTTAACACGACCACTAAAAAAACAACAGAACAAATTAGGTACTCCCTGCAGCTCAAAGAGCTGGCTGAAGGACCTTACTCTGAAAGCAAGCATTAGATAACGCCTGCACGTCCACTTGGTAAACCTTAGAGAACATTTGAAAAAAAGACTAGATGTTAGCTTTGCACACCTAGGAAACAGTTGCCTGATGCCGAAAAGCCCAAGATTCATTCACAGATCTATTAGAGTACGTTTTCACAGTAAAGGTGGAACCCAATCCTTTAAGAAGAATTCCACTCTCTTAATCAATATTGACTATGTTTAATCAATTTGCTGCTCGCATTTGTAAATAGATAGGGAAGTATTTTCATACTCTGTTCTAAACTTTTTTTTTTTTACATTTCTTTAGTTGCTTTCTGGTTTCCTGAGCTAAGGGCAGATGGATTCGCAGAGAAATGTTTCTTGATGACATATGACATCATTGAATGTGTTAAGCTAAGATGAGCCCAGAGATATAGTGTCCCTTTAAAATGTTGACAGCTATGCAGTACCACCCTGGCAGAAAGTGCAAGGCCCTTTAAAATCCACCAGGCCAATGCAGGATACTAGATTTCAACTACACCGGTGACAGAAATGCTGGATTAAATATGTCACATGGCCCTCCTAGCAAGATGATTCCTGAACACACCTGTGCTGGTCTTAGGGGTTAGCAATCTTGCAGTTGGCATTGTATGGTTGTGTCTAGCCATCTCATCTTTGTCTTATATTATGCAGGGGTTTGTCTGCTCTTGTGCTTTTTTTTAGTTACTTCTATTTTTTTTTTAGCTTTGTTTGGTTCTGATGTGTATGGTAGTAGATTTTCAAGTAAGATCTGTTAGGAGTGGGAAGTTCCAGAGAAAATATCGAAGTGATCTATAAAGCATTTTTTTTCACTCATTGAGGCTGGTTCCTCGTTTACTCGCTCAGCAGATGCGTTTGTCACACTGCAAGGTCTCTCCTCTCCCTGCTAGTTCTCGAGTACGGTGCTGGAGACAGGCAGGGAGATGAGAAGGAGAAAAAACAGCACAATGTTGAAAACATTAAACGTTTAAGTTGCCATAAAGCCACTTTGGTTTTTTAAAACAGACATTCCTTATCAGGACAAGCAGATTGTCATGAGAGACAAGTAGATTGGGACCTTGATTTAGTCCCTTGGACAAGTAGTTTTTAAAAGCATTTCCACACCTCTGAAGTGTGGAAACTCCACGAGTGCTCCCATAGGAAGTGACTTCCTTTGGGGTCACTGGATGAAATGGAGGAGCCAGAAGCGCCAGTGAGGGACCCAAGAAGAGGAGGATGGATACTGTTCTGTGCTCTGCACAGAGTAGGTACGTATAACATGTTTGTTATTTTATTAAAAAAAAAAAAGCTTTACAAGCACTTTAATATTACATAAAAATATACATTTTGATGAAGATTTTTTTTTTTAAATACACAGGCATGCCACTAGAAAAAAAAAAAACAAATAAAAAGACTGATGGGCTTTATGTGGTGAAACTTGTGCTTGCCTTGTTACATTCCCAGGCTATTCCCATTGTGAGATACCCAGACCATTTTGTGTATACATGGGAGCATATGGGTAAATCTGCATTACCACTTGAAAGCACAAGATGGCACTAGTGCTATATATATATATTTTTTTAACTCATTTTGTTACTGTGTCTGCAAATTGCACAATGATACAATGATATGGAAAATTGTTTCAACTAATACACGTCAGGAATCAAGACTGTAGAATGTATTTGTATTATTTATCTTATTCTACACACATTACACATTGATATAAATTAATACACACCTTTATATAGCCACTGCAGTATAAAGGTAGTTCATATCCATAATTCCATTTAAAGAAAGAGGGAACAAACATCAAATTACTTTGCTTTAAATGTAAAAAAATAATCCTTTCATTATGAGAGAAAGACAATAAGATATTGTCTGTAAATTGATGGGAATTTATGTTCTCCCTCTGCTGGTAACAAGTAGAGATCACATGCAGTCTCACACTGGGTGGGAGTTATGACTGCAGTGCAGTTTTGCTGGTGATAGGCACTTCAGCTCTGTTATTATTATTATTATACAGGATTTATATAGCGCCAACAGTTTGCTCAGTGCTTTACAATATGAAGGGAGACAATACAGCAACAATACAGTTCAATACAAGAGGGATAGGAGGGCCCTGCTCCTTGGAGCTTACAATCTAAGAGGTCTGTTGCCCTAATTCCCTTTAATAAAAAGTGCAGCATTAGCTGATGTGTAGGCTTCGACCATGTCTGTCTCCACTTCACATGAAGGAAATGAAGATTAGAAACTAAATCTCAGTACGCGTTAAGTTGACTTCCGGATCCCAAGGGTCACTTCATCCCTACCTTGCTCAAAGCATATGTCATTAGCTAATCATTAGGGAATGCTTTTAGAAGCATTTAAACATCAAATGCAAGGACACAAAGCCAGCAGCTGCTCCTATAAAATGCTAGAATATAGAGGCACACCAAATACAAATTGTTATTGTATATGAAAAGCTAGATCTCAGAGACCTCAGTTGATGGTAAGCATGCAGGCACATTCTGATCGTTGTGAATTAACTTTTTGGACAGATGCAGGCAGAAGACAAGTGTTTTAAAAGGTTCTTTCCTCACATTCAAGGAGAGTTGGCTTCCAAGGTCTACTTGTGCCCTAGACATGAGACAGTTAAACCCATGTAAAAATGGCTGTATATAGTTCTTTATGACAATCATCTACTACTGACTGATACAGTAGTAGATGCATGTGCTAACCGGCTGCCTGAGAGGCACATCTGAAACATTGGGTTTTTACCTGTTTATTTCAACATCACAAACAGAAAGCTTTATAGTTGTGATACAGGAATAAATGCAGAAATTGCATATACTGTAGCAGATGTCACCTTGGACTATGTATTTTGATTGGCTGGTGCTCATCTAATGTCTGTGTCTTGTAAACATGTGTACCTAACATATGTTAGAATTCTGTATTGCTGTCAGTTGAAGAAAATGCTTCCTGGCTCCTTAAAGTTGCCTTCTAACTGCAAGATTGGACTGCTGTTTTCTGTATGTATTGATTGGTATACTGTGAAGTAGCACAAAACAACCTTTAGCATCAGCTCTTTTGGTACTATAAGGCCTGCACATGGACATTTACAGGCATAAAATATGCCTAGCATAAAATCACTCCATGTTGCCATGCCTAAGGTCCAGCAGATGTGGCGTACAGCCAGCCATAGAACTGAATGGCTGTATGCCCTTTTACTTGTGTAAAGTTTCACACCCAATAAATATTTGCATGCATGGGTAAACGCTGATGCACAGAAATATGGATGTACAAGGGTGTACAGCCATTAAATTTAGTGACTGGCTGTATGCCCCATCTGCAGCACCCCAGGCAGGGAAAATACTAGTATTATTATGCTAGACATATTTTATGCCTGCAAACATCCAGGTGTATGTAGCCTTAAGTTAGATTTGTACAAAAATTCTTAGGAAAATTCATATGAAAATTCTTAGGAAAATTCATATGAAAAAAAATTCTTAGGAAAATTTGTACGAAAATTCTCAGCACATTTGAAAGTCGTTCACAATTGTCTCTGCCTTTTAACATTCGATTTTGCAACGAATGAATTTTACGTATCTAAAACCAAATATTCTTTTAGAAATTCTTACATTGGGGAAAATCTTCCATCCTGCTCCTTCAAATTTTCTCGTCATTGAGGTTGAAAACAACTGTCAACTTGACCCCACCAACGATTAGAAAATCAAAAAAATTTCTTAAAATGAAAAATGTTGAACAAAATTCTACCATCGCATACCAAGCTATAGTACCAAAATAGCATATAATTTCTCTTCAGTTGGAAGTTATTGAGTTGTTTTTATTTTTTTCTCCTTAATTGGTCTCACACACGGAATAGTTTCACAGATAAATTTACATCCTTCTTTCTTTATCTTATCTTCTATGCACTCCAAGAGGTATTCCATGTATTTGACATAATACAGGCTGATTTTATTCAGCACTGCTGTTTTCTGCATGATCATACTTGGGATCCTAGGCATATTATGAGAGAAACACAGAGCAAATTACATCTTTTAAATATATAAAACAAGCTTCTTACCAGGAAAGAGATCAGTACATCTCATGAAGATTTCCCAGTATATGAGGCCCAGTGCATACATGTCCACTTGCTTCAAAGCAGACTCGCAGTCTCTCAGATTCACTGCTCCTTCCAAGACTTCAGGAGCCATGTAACGGATTGTGCCAACCTGTAGATACACATCAAAGTAGTTTATGTACGGTATGAAAATTAATGGACTGAAATGTATTGAAACTTTGTAAATACCTGAATCATATAAGACCTTATTTAAGGATGGCTAATACATTTGATGGCACCATTGAATCATTTTATTTAATTGTGATCTTTTTGTATGTATGTGTGCTTTGAGGAAAGCTGCTATAGCCGAAACATGTTAGCGTACTATTAATGTGTTTTTTACATGTAGCTTCTCGGTGTTATGGAGCACTGGTCTTCAGCCATGGGAAGCTGAGATGGCAGTTGAGCATGGGTATTGTATATGCACCACTGAAAAATGCTTTACTTTGTGAAACCACTGTTTTAACAAACCATACCGAAAGTTCCAACTTCAAAACACAATGATTATTTTTGCAGAACAGCTTTTTTAAGGCTGCTCTGTTTGAAACTTCTTTTATCAGCACATATCAGAAAACTTAACAGAATGGGGAGCTTCTAGGAGATGAGGTACACCTTCTGGGTGTTCCGCTCTAAAATTAATGTTAATTCTCTATATTTTTCACTAGATGAGTAAAATTAGTTGTTCACTAAACAAAAAAAACAACATATCAATAGTTTATATAATTTTTTTGAGAAAACAATTGTTTATACAGTAGACGATGCATCTAAAAATAAGCTCTGCTGTTTATTTATTATTATTATTATTATTATTATACAGTGTTAATATAGCCCCAAAAAGTTTGCTCAGCGCTGTACAATATAGTGGGGGACAGTACATGAGACAATACAGTAACAAAACAATATACGAGAGGTTCGAGGGCCCTGCTCTTTCGAGCTTACAATCTAGGAGGGAGGGGATAGTGGTACAGGAGGAAGTGGCTGTGTGTGGGATGGAGTTGTAGGAGGAGTGGAGGAGATCGGCTGTTAGGTGAGGGTGGGATAGGCTTCCCTGAAGAGATGGGTTTTCAGGGTGCGCCTAAAGGTAAGGAGGGTAGGTGACAGTCTGATGGATTGGGGTAGTGAGTTCCAGAGGATGGGGGAAGTCCTGGACAAGTCCTGCAGTCGGGCGTGGGAGGAGGAGACCAGGGAGCTAGAAAGTAGGAGGTCTTGTGAGGAGCGAAGAGTACGGGTTGGGTAGTGTCAGGCTCCGCCCAACGGGATCTCTAGTGGTCCACAGCACGGGGTTTCCCAGGACGCGGAGTCTAAGTCCCAGTCTGCCTTTTCACCAGAGCCCCTGATGGTGGGGATGGACTTCGCGCAAAACTGGAACCAGGTCGCGCCCCTGGGCACCCCCGGCGGTGGTACAGGGGTCCCGCTGAGGGTGTGTGCCCGGGATGAGTCTGCTGTGAAGGGGATGACAGGTCCCAATCCGAGCGGGATGGATGGATGACTGCTAGGAGTGAGCGAGGTCAGACTAGCCGGGTCGGTATCGTGCGGGCACGTGGTACAGGAGGAGCAAGCGGAGAATGGTCGGGGTCACAAGCCAGGTTCAGCAGGTTGCAGGCAGCGCGGTACCGAGGATCAGGCAGAAGGATGGTCAGGAACGAGCCGGGGTCAGAGCAGGAGAGGGTCAGCATAAAACAGAACAGGCAGAGTTTGGCAACAAGGAAACGTACTTACAGGAACAGGAACAAGACCTTGCGGCAACTTGGAGATGCACAGGGCAGTTTTAAATAGAGCGCCCTGTTCTCCCATTGGTGCGGCCGCGATCGCTAGTGCGCATGCGCGGCCGCGATCGCCGAAGACTCTGTGCTCGCCGGCTCGGACGGATCGGCAATCTGCGCATGCGCACACACCGCCGAGAGCCCGGGATCCCTGACAGGTGGTATTTGGGTATCAGGTCGGTGAGGTAGTTTGGGGCAGTGTTATGAATGGCTTTGTATGTCAATGTTAGTAGTTTTAATTTTATGTGTTGGGCAATTGGAAGCCAGTGGAGGGAATGGCAGAGGGGGGTGGCAGATGCGGAGCTTTTGGTAAGGTGGATGAGTCTGGCTGCTGAGTTCAGGATAGTCTGAAGCGGGGATAGTGTGATGAGTAGGCCGGTGAGGAGGGAGATGCAGTAGTCAAGTTGTGAGATAATAAGGGAGTGAATGAGTTGTTTAGTAGTGTCTGGGGTTAGGAACGTACGTATTTTGGAGATGTTGCGGAGGTGGAGCCTGCATGAGTTTGCCAGTGATTGGACATGGGGTTGGAAGGACAGATTTGAGTCCAGAGTGACACCTAGGACTTTGGCTTGCGGGGTGGGACTGATGGTGGCTTTGTAGGTCGTGATGGAGAGGGTGGGGGTGCGGGCTGGGGGGAAAATTAGGAGCTAGGTTTTGAAAAGGTTTAATTTGAGGAAGTGGAGTGACATCCAGTCTGATATGTCGTTCAGCAAGCAGGTGATTCGGGCGGAGACTGAAGGGGTGAGGCGAGGGGGTAGAGAGGTAGATTTGCGTGTCATCGGCGTAGAGGTGGTAGTTGAAGCTGTGGGAGTGTATCAGTTGGCCAAGTGAGGAGGTGTAGATGGAGTTTACCTCCCACCTCCTTGCATAACCACTGAAAAAAGGTTTAAAAAAGTGCCTGTAAGGCAAAAACAAAATTGGATAGTGTACTCACCTTTCCCCAGCTTCCGGCCACTGCTCTTAGGTGAGGGTGATGTCATCCTCCTTCTGGAGAGATCTAGGGAATGTAGAGTACTCCAAAGCTGCTCCAGTGTTTGAAGCACGCACCATTCCCTGGGACCTTGTCAAAGAATGATATAATCACCTCCTGCACCACAGAAGCCAGGGGAAGGGCGAGTATGCGTATACCTTTATTCCAACTGTTTCAGCAAGGGGGGGGGGGGGGGGGTAGGTATTGCAAAGTCCGTTTGAAAGTTTAAATTACACAGGCATGCAAGCTAGACTGTGTTGGTACATTATTGAAATGTGCACAATAAAGCCGCATAATTAGAAAAAGTGTGTCCTGCCATTCCTATAAGTAGTATGAACAGAAATATTAGGACAACAATGAAAAAAATCAGCTCAGTATAACCAGAAAACAAAGAAGGGAAGAGAGTGGGGTTATGGTGATGAGAGCTGGGGGAAGGGGAAGGTCGTTGATAGAGAGGAAGGTACCTAAACTGTTGCATTAAATAAATGAGGTACGGAAAGAGGGAAGCCATGTAGAGGGTAAAATGGGGATATGGAAGGTTACCTACAGGAAGAGAAAGCTGTGCGGAATGTGACATCTGAATGATGAAGTATATTTCTAGGCTAAGGTATATCTTTTGGCTTTAGAAATGCAGAAGGTATTTGAACACGTCTGCAGTGTGACATATGGTCTACTGCACCCATGTCTGTAAATAGGATAGTCAGACAATGCCTAGGGCACGCCATAGATTATGCAATTTTCTTTCCTGCAACCACAGGTTGTAGGAAAGAAAATGACTCCATTCCGCCATCCACACAGTCAATGTTGTTGAGGGAATCCCTCCCATGGAACTATTGTGTTCTCATGGCGGGGAGACATCCCAGCCGGGAGAAAACAAGGATTACTGCTAGCGGCTATAGCCCCATGCAGTAATTAAATGCTACAAATCTGATAAGCTAGTTGTACTGAAGTCAACTGGCGGATTGACTTGGGTACAATCAGCCTGCTCATAGATGGATTGAGACTCAGCTGGTCCCTGCTGAACCAGCCGAGATCCATCTATGGCAAGCTTTAGGACATCAGATTTGATATGTTTCCGTAACCCTGGAACCATGGACAATATTGTGATTTCCGGAGAACCAGTGATGGATATAGATTGCAAATTACAGTGGTAGTTCATAAGTCATGTTAGGCATTTGAGAGATGCTTACTGAGTCTGCAACAAATAAAAAATAACTACCTCCACCTACAAAAAACATATATAGAATTTCACCTGGGACATGACTAAATCATGATATGCTTCTAAACTGCTTGTTAAAAAATTGGAAAGATCTCTAATTCTCAAAACACGTTTCCTCCCCTCATTGTGCAAGACAGATGAATAAGTGTGAATAAGTGAATGAATTAGTTAAAAAAAAAAGACTTTTTTTTTCAGAACAGAACAACAAGCTCTACACTGGAAAGGGAGGAAGCAAGCATTCTAAAAAACATTTTTTTTTTAAATTTACAGTGTTCTATTATAGTGCTGTGGAAATATAATTAGTTTAAAGAGACTCTTGCAGTCTAAGAAAAACTGCAATGGGTAAAAAGTGCAGGCACCTAAAGCGACTTCTTCGGCAGTCTCCCAAAACCTGCCGTTATACCTGAATGACGATGCTAAACCACGCCCACCCCTTTCCTGGACATTCTACTTGGCCAGTGACGCAGCCCCTCATAGTGATGGGACAATAGGAACACATGGGGAAAGGAGGTACTAGTAAGCTCTGACACTACCTGAAAGTGTTGGATCTTTGTCTACCAAAATGGACTAGGATACAATGGTTAAGACGGTACACATTATCTGTGAAGCAGAGTTTTTTTTTATTTGTTGAAAGATATTCTAAATATGCCTAGAATTTAGAATTTATTATTAAATTATTAAAAAACTATTTTATTAAAAACTACTGACTAGCTTCATCATCTGTTCAGTACCTCCAATATGGTTTTCCTTTTAGCTTCGAAATGACATGTACATATACAGTATGCTGTACTTGGCAAACCTAGAAGTCTACTGTTAACTAATCAATACACATACTGGTAATCCTAATCACATTCAAAAACATACAGTGCTCAGCATAAATGAGTACAATCGAACAGATTTGTCAGAAAACCTTTACTTTCCTTTCAGAATCAACATTTTCTATGGGACACTATACTACAAAATACTCCCACAAATGCGGGACATTGATTGCAAACAAGATTTGTTAATTTGCACACACACAAAAAGTATTTTTCCTAACAAATTCATTCAAGACCATAATGTAAAAATTAATACACCCCAATAAGAGTTCTAGGAGAAAAACTACATTTTAGACAACAAAATCGTAATTAACAAGAATTCAACTACAGGTGAGTCTAATTATTCAATAACCAGGTGTCCAGCAGACAAGAAGAATGGAAAAAGATAGATGTTGCAATATGTCGCCAACTTGTTCATTCCATGCCTAGGAGACTCGGTGCTGTCCTTACAAATCATGGAGGTCATACAAAATACTTGATGTAATAGTTTTTGTTGTGGGGTGTATTTATTTTTGCATTAACTAATTTGAGTAAAACCAAAGATTTTGTAATCTAAGTTATATTATTAACCTTTCATGTAATGAGCTAAAAAATGTTCTATAAAAAACTCAGTTTTGTCAAACGTTTGTAAATTGTTCTTGTGTTCATTGAGATATTGATTAAAATCTTACTTTTCAAAAGGGGTGTACTCATTTATGCTGAGCACTGTATATATGGATCATTCCTGGCTTATGTTCCTATCAAACGTTTGAACATACATTAACTGCCAACAATATGGCAAGGTTAGGCCATCAGGTTACAGATTATATATGCATGTTTTAGGGAAACAAAGCTTATTAATGTATTATGATTATCATTACAACAGTTATCAGCATCACTTTCAATGATGAAGATGTCAAAACAACACAGGGTGCATGAGTTTTCTGCTTTTATTGATCCTTTATGACCAAAAATGCTCCATGGTCCATTTTTAAAAAAATTAAACTTAGCTGCAGTGCATAGGTGTAAGAAGCCATACAGCAATAAATGGGATTTCTACTTGAAATGTATTTTAAAGCTGTAAAATAAACAAGTATGTACAGGCCCAAAGAAGTGTTTTATTCTGCATGTGTGGGCAATCACTCATGTCTTATTTAAATTATTTTTAATTTTTAGTATTTACCGTATTTTTCGCTCCATAAGACGCACTTTTTCCCCCCCCAAAAAAATGGGGGGTAATGTCTGTGCGTCTTATAGAGCGAATATTGAGCGGCCGGCCCGGTATTCCCACTGTCGCCGCTGCCGTGTTAGAATACTTGTTCCTCAGTCCAGCAGTGTCTCCATCACCTCATCATCTTTAGTGTGAGCACATGGCTGTGACAGCTTGCGGCTTCACAGCCGGGTGCCCACTTTGTGAATGGTCCCATAGTCTTATGTCCACAGTCTCTGGTCATCTCCTGTACTATGTCCGCAGTCTCTGGTCATCTCCTGTAGTATGTCCACAGTCTCTGGTCATCTCCTGTACTATGTCCGCAGTCTTTGGTCAACTCCTGTACTGTGTCCATAGTCTTTGGTCAACTCCTGTACTGTGTCCATAGTCTCTGGTCATCTCCTGTACTATGTCCGCAGTCTCTAGTCATCTCCTGTAGTACGTTTGCAGTCTCTAGTCATCTCCTGTAGTACGTCTGCAGTCTCTGGTCATCTCCTGTAGTATGTCCACAGTCTCAGGTCATCTCCTGTACTATGTCTGCAGTCTCTGGTCATCCCTTGTACTATGTCGGCAGTCTCTGGTCATCTCCTGTAGTATGTCTGCAGTCTCTGGTCATCTCCTGTAGTATGTCCACAGTCTCTGGTCATCTCCTGTAGTATGTCTGCATGTCTGCAGTCTCTGGTCATCTCCTGTACTATGTCTGCAGTCTCTGGTCATCTCCTGTAGTACGTCTGCAGTCTGCAGTCTCTGGTCATCTCCTGTAGTACATCCACAGTCTCTGGTCATCTCCTGTACTATGTCTGCAGTCCATTGGTTCAGAATATATTATTTCTTGTTTTCCTCCTCTAAAACCTTGCGTCGTTTTTGGACAGGTACGTCTTATGGAGCGAAAAATTACGGGTAAGTGGAAACTTAGAAGCAAGAAAATGCTTCACTTTGTTAAACATGTATATACTTACCTCACTTATTGCTGCATTATCTTCATCTCATCTCCTGGCCTCACCAGCCGGTTTCCTGTAAGTCGCATGGACAGGCCAAAGTCGCTGATAACACAAGTGCCATCGCTCTTCACTAGCACATTACGACTGTTCAGGTCACGGTGTGAAATAGCCGGTTTGTATAGATCTAGTTAAAAGCAGACAAACCCAGTTAATGTTTGTGAGACATTTCAAGACTATATCTGTTACCTAAACAGATATTTAAAATAGAACTCCAGGATCTAACTATTTTAGTGATTAATGATCCTCTTCCTAAATTCTCTTGAACTGCTAACACAGTTTAAATGACAGTGCCTTACTTTTCTTGTAATCCATGAGTTTCAGCCCCAGTGACACCATATTTATTTAGGAAAAAAGAGCTTACTCCTGGCGCTGGGAGGAGGACTTTCTTTCTCACTGTTCATCACATTTGAGCAGGGAATAGGGGCAGGGGCGGACTGACAACTCATGGGGCCCCCGGGCAATAGGGGATCATGGGGCCCCTGTGTCCTTGCCCAAACTCAAAAAAGCCTATGAAAAAGGTACCAGGGGCATCTGATGGGGCCCCTACTGACCCAGGGCCCTCGGGCAATGCCAGAATTCCCAATGGTCAGTCCGCCCCTGAATAGGGTCTACATTTCACATGATGCAAAGGTTAATACAGGATATGAGTCAACATGTGCAGTGAACTGGAGGAGGAGCGAAGGGCGGAGTTGGCAATGATAGCTGTATCTGTTATCCTGAGAGGCAGCGTGTACAGAGAACTGGAGGGGAGGTGGAGGGTGGAGTTGAAGCTAAAGGCTGTATTTGCTATGCACAGTAGGCAGCTCAGACCAGAAGTCTCAAACTACCGAGTATGCCCACTACAGTGAGCAGGAACGTAATTATGTCTCTGCTCAGTGTAAAGAACTATAGTGGGGCAGAGACAAGACCGGTGGCCAGGCTGATAAAGAGCATAGCGGCTACCGGGCTTACAAAACGGATGTCAGAGGGGTTCAAGCTAGGATTCAAGTAATGCACCCTGGACACAGTGGGGAGAGGAAAAAGAAGAACATTGCACTATGGTATGACAGTACCAGTACTGCCAGCTAATGTTCTGCCCGGAGTTCTGCTTTACCAGTATTAACACATAAATAGGTGTGATAAAGTAGCAATGCTATACATTAATTACATATAGGTAAAAGATGTTATAGACCATTATTGATACATTCTATGTGTGCAGGGAACCTTTTTTTAAACTTCTCATTTGTTAAAACATATCTAAATCCCAAAACAAAAATGTTATATATTGCAACAGATGTAGCAGTTGCATTAATTTTATTTTTTCAGTTTTTTTCTTTATTTTCAACTGGTGTTCTTTTAAAGTGGTTCTAAACTCAAAAGGTTTTTTTTTCACCTTGATGCATTCCCTGTATTAAGGTAAAAACTTTCTAATACCTGTTCCTACCCCCTAATCCCCAAACACTTACCTCAGACCTCCAGTGCCATCAGGTCAGTGCCGCTGCTCTCTCTTCCTGGTCTCACAGAAAACTCTGAGAGCTGTGGAAGCCACAGTAAAATCCTGTGAGGAGGGAGCAGGGGGTGTAGCCGAGCTGTACTGTGTGTGTCTATGGACCCACATGGCCTGGCTTGGCAGTGCACCTGCACTGGTGCCCCTATAGCTCACAGCTTTGCTAAGGAGGCACCCAAAGGAAGAAGGAGTGTACAGTGCCAGCAGGGGACTACAGAAGAGGAGGTACTGAAGGACCAGTTTGAGATGCACCAGCAGCTTTAGAAGGACCTAACAAATAAAGTTAAACTCCACTTAACAAGTTTTAAGCAGTTGCAGTCTTCTTTATTTAATTTTGAAATAAAGGTTTTGCATAAAAGAATAAATGCTAAGCATGGTAAGCAACCCTGTCAATAGTAAGTGACTTGTCTCAACTCTCTAACTGCCACTTTTGCTGGATGGCTTGGTCAGTTAAAGGAAGTTGAAAAAGACTTACAGGCCAGATCACCAGGTGAAACTAAAGCAAAAACCATAAAAAAAGAAAAAGGAATGCAGCCACCACATCTAAGGTAAGCTGAAAATATAGTTTTTTTTTTTAGGTTTAATAACACTCTAAATTACTTCATGAAATAAAAGTTAGCTTTTTGTAAAGAGTTTAAATATACATTGCTTTGATATGAAAAAGCACAATCTTCTAAAAGTAATAGTCAATAGTACTATACCTCCTCGAAGCAGCTCTGTATGTAGGTATGCCAATCCTCTGGTTACCGAGTGTGCCAGGCGGCAGGAGTTGAGCCAGTCACTGGTGTGCACACTTAAATATTTGCAAAGGGATCCCTGTAGGCATAAACAGCTGTCATTAAATGAACATTTCTTAAATCTGCATACATCATTTTACCACACCATAAAATATAATATCTACTGCGGTTAAAACCTAGAAAGCCTAATACATTGAAGTAGAGTATCAGTCAAACTGCTCAATGCACAAACACACATACTGTATAGGTGAACAGCGTTACCTGCCAAAAAAGAATTGTGTTAACTCTGTTGTACTGCAGCAAAAGGGTGCCATCACTGTTTCTACACCTTTCCATTTCATCTAACCCCTGATTCACATCTGTGCAGGTGGTGGTGCTGCTGCAGGATCTGCACAAATAACTGCAGCTGCACCACCCACACAGAGGAATGTGGTACCTGAAGGCGGGTACCATTCATTTTAATGGTACGCTGCCTGCACTGGAAATCACAACTGTACTGGGAACCTCAGTTCCGGTGTGGGCTGCGATTTCCAAAGTAGTGCAGGGACTTCTTCCCTGGGCATGGGAGTCCATTCAAGTGAATGGGCTCTGGTGCCTGAGCAAATCACGGCCTGAACAACCGCACAGATGTGAACCAGGGCAAATACATGTTCAATGGACTATGAATGAACATAAGGTTTGCAATGCACTTTGTCCTTCCTGCAGTCTGCCTAAACACTTCCTCCGCTGTCCCAGAGTATGTGAAAAATGTTGGTATGACAGCATTGTGCAAAGAAGGAAGAACAGGCTCATCTTATGTGTTGCTTCCATTGACCATTTGTTTCCCATGTACAGTACGTTGTAGTGTCAAGACTGCCTGTTTGTTGCCCATGTATTGTCATGATTGCCCGTTTGATGGCCATACAGTATATTGTCATTGCTCTGTTGTTTACGTATAGTCATGATTAGCAGTTGCTGTCCATGTATTGTCATGATTGCCCATTTGCTGCTAGTGTCATAGTTGTTACAAATTTGCCTGCATATAATCACATCTGCTTATTTATTGTCAATGCATTGTCCTATATGCCCATTTTTTGCCCTTGTATTATCACAATTTTCTATTTGTTCTCATGTATTTTTAAGGCTGCCCATTTTTTGCCTAGGTATTGTCGTGGTTTTATAAATTATAGAACACATATTGTCATGATTGCTTGTTTGTTGCCCATGTATTGTTTGCCCGTTTCCTGCATATGTACCATCAAAACTGCCCAGTTGTTGCCTATGGATTATCAAAAATGCCTGTTTGTTGTCCATGTGTTGTCTTTGCCTTACCACTGTGATATGTGTGCAAAGTCAATAATGTTTGTTTTGGAGAGCATATTACTATTTGAACCCTCTTGTCCTTATTAAACTATTCCCCCTATTACGAGGGTACAAAAATTCCCAGGTATAATAATATTTATTATTTGAACTGCAATTAACGTGGACCCTACAAAGGTTGCACAGGCAGCCCAACTCCTCCAGGATGGCACATCAATATGTGCCTTTGCCAGAAGGTTTGCTGTGTCTCCCAGCACAGTCTCAAGAGCATGGAGAGATTCCAGGAGACAGGCAGTTACTCCAGGAGAGCTGGACAGGGCCGTAGAAGGTCCTTAACCCATCAACAGGACCGGTATTTACTCCTTTGTGCAAGGAGGAACAGGATGAGCACTGCCAGAGCCCTACAAAATGACCTCCAGCAGGCCACTGATGTGAATGTCTCTGACCAAAGAATCAGAAACAGACTTCATGAGAGTGGCCTAAGGGCCCGATGTCCTCTAGTGGGCCCTGTGCTCACTGCCCGGCACCATAGAGCTCGATTAGCATTTCCCATTGAACACCAGAATTGGCAGATCTGTCTCTGGTGCCCTGTGCTTTTGACAGATGGGAGCGGGTTCACCCTGAGCACATATGACAGACGTGAAAGGGTCTGGAGAAGCTGCGGAGAACATTATGCTGTCAGTTAACATCATTCAGCATTACCGTTTTGGTGGTGGGTCAGTGATGCTCTGGGGAGGCATATCTATGGAGGGACGCACAGACCTCTACAGGCTAGACAATGGCATCCTGACTGCCATTAGGTATTAGGATGAAATCCTTGGGCCCATTGTCATACATGACGCCGGTGCATTGGGTCCTGGGTTCCTCCTGGTGTACAACAATCCCGGACCTCATGTGGAAAGAGTATGCAGGCAGTTCCTGGAGGATGAAGGAATTGATACAACTGAATGGCCCCCATGCTTGCCTGACCTAAATCCAATAGAACACCTCTGGGATATCATGTTTCGGTCCATCCAACGCCACCAGGTTGCCCCTCAGACTGTCCAGGAGCTCAGTGATGCCCTGTTCCAGATCTGGGAGGAAACACCCCAGGGCACCATCCATCGTCTCATTAGGAGCATGCCCCAACGTTGTCAGGCATGCATACAAGCAGGTGGGGGCCATACAAACTACTGAGTACCCTTTTTCGTTGCTGCAATGAAATTGCAAAATGGACTAGTCTGCTGCATCATTTTTTCACTTTGATTTTGAATTCAGTCCTCTGTAGGTTGATCATTTTCATTTCCATCAAACAAAGGGGCATCTTTAGGTTATTAACACATTACCTAGTCCATATCAGTATAGATGTCCAGCATGATATTTTTCCCCATTGAGCTGCGATGTGTCATCAAAGTGTTCAAATGTTTTTGAGCAGTGTATATTAGTGTCTGAGGTTAAATACTGAGTCAATTGGACTATGCCCAATGAGAAAATTGACAGCCAGACTTTAGGGTAACATGCCCACATTTTCCAAGTTCGGGAGCCAGGAGTTCTTATTACCTTCTACAAGACTTTGATCGTTGCCACTTCAAATTGTAATCTCTTGGGATTTTTTTTTTTCACTTGGAATTGTAATGATCCCCACCTTTCTAGGCCAAATCTCCCCCTTCCACCAGCCCCATCATTACCCACATTTTCTTAACTACATATTCTTTTCTATTTCTAACATTTTCTTCTCTGATTCACTTAGATTAGTCGCTACTCTTGCTGACAACTATAATGTGACCCATAACAGTTGTCCCTACCTATTGAAGTTTATTGTGTCTATATCGATAGTAATACCTTCTCATATGTGTTAACATCAATGCAAACAGCTGTTTTTGTGATCAAGCATTCTCTGTATTACCCTTTGTTAACTTTCAAATAAAAGATTAAACAAGAAAAAAAAAACCTGCTCACACGGGCCACACTATTTATATAGAGAATGGAATAACATAGATGTGCATATGAAATTGGTTGGGAAAAAACATTAGGATGTGTTTATTGTTTGTTTTCATGATGAGCTTAGATTGTCTCTTAATAAATGTTTGAAACTGCCTCTGTGGGACAAGAGTTATTTTGTATAGTATGATTGGTTATAAGGAATCAATGAAACAAACAAACTCTGAAAATAATTAGTGTAAAGGGGAATTAATTATGTAAGCTTGACTGAGCAGTGCCACTACCTCATTGCACATTGGCTTTTTCTCTCTTTTGTACAGTGCTGCAGAATATCTTGACACTGTATAAAAACAAGGACAATACTGTGAATGTCACCCTCTGAAAGGAGGGTTCACAATGAAACAGCTCTGTCACACACTGCTCTATAGTGCATTGGAGGTGGTCTTGCTCACTGGAATGCCAAGCAGCACCAAGGAAACACAGCAAGAGAAAAGTAGAAAAACTTGACTGCATTAAAGTTTGGGCAGAACGCCATATAACTCGCCAGTCCTCTTAGAAAACGCATTTACTTGATTCATTACAAAAGGCGTGTTCTGGCTACAGCAAAGCACAGAATTACTAAATAATACTGTTTGGAATTTTAAGCAAAATTAAAACTGATTTCTTACAAAATACATGACTGAGGGCTGCACAGACATGAGGCATGCTACCACACAGGAGCACCCAGCTGAGGTCATATAACAATACAGTATGTACTCTAGCCTCTAGTAGGCAGATTAGATGAAAACCAAAAATATAATTTGACTGCTACCGGTTACAGTGCATTTGTATGTCATTTGTACCATGTTATTAAATAAGCATGTTGATTGCTTGTTGTCTGGACTGTAAATGCAGCCTCACAAGATGCTTAACCAGCTATGCATGTAAAACAGTGCTGGAGATGGAGGTTTTTGCAGGACAACATGCCTTTATGTGGACACAGACAGCCTTAACCACTTGCCCTGAGGATTTACCGTATATACTCAAGTATAAGCCGACCCGAATATAAGCCGAGGTACCTAATTTTACCACAAAAAACTGGGAAAAACTATTGACTCGAGTATAAGCCGAGAGGGTATCATTGGTGTCAGGGGAGGAATAGTGCCCCATCATTGGTGTCAGTGGGAGTGGGAATAGTGCCCCATCATTGGTGTCAGTGGGAGGAATAGTGCCCCATCATTGGTATCAGTGGGAGGAATAGTGCCCCATCATTCAGTGGGGAGGATCAGTGGGAGGAATAGTGTCCCATCATTGGTGTCAGTGGGAGGAATAATGCCCCATCATTGGTGTCAGTGGGAGGAATAGTGCCCCATCATTGGTATCAGTGGAGAGAATAGTGCCCCATCATTGGTATCAGTGGGAGGAATAGTGTCCCATCGTTGGTATCAGTGGGAGGAATAGTGCCCCATCGTTGGTATCAGTGGGAGGAATAGTGCCCCATCATTGGTATCAGTGGGTAGTGGGAATAGTGCCCCATCGTTGGTATCAGTGGGAGGAATAGTGCCCCATCATTGGTATCAGTGGGAGGGAATAGTGCCCCATCATTGGTATCAGTGGGAGGAATAGTGCCCCATCATTGGTATCAGTGGGAGGAATAGTGCCCCATCATTGGTGCCAGTATCAGTGGGAGGAATAGTGCCCCATCATTGGAGTCAGTGGGGGAGGAATAATGCCCCATCATTGGTAGTGCAGTGGGAGGAATAATGCCCCATCATTGGTGTCAGTGGGAGGAATAGTGCCCCATCATTGTTGTCAGTGGGGGAGGAATAGTGCCCCATCATTGGTAGTGTCAGTGGGAGGAATAGTGCCCCATCATTGGTA